AAGTGGACCAGTGTAATACTTTGATTTTAGAGCTTGTCCAAGGTCACTCATTATTAATAATGTAGCGCTTACGGGTTCATGCAGGACAAAGGACAAGTGGAGACGAGATAAGAAAACAAGCGACTGCTTTTATTCTCCTCTCAAAAACAACACCAACCACAGGATTTTACACACACATAAGGGGGACCAACAGAACATGTACACAGGTTTAGGGTGGTAACTCGTTAACAGAAGACTACACACTTAGTAAGCTACACAGGACACTTAAACTAACATAAATCTATTTATATGAGCAGGGTCAGTTGCTGGTCATCGTGCTGACCCTCAGACTCCCCCCGGCTACAACTCCCAGCCTGCTTCACAGCACCCTGAGTGCCTAGGTGCACTTCCTCCTCACCTCCGAGGGCGCTACAATACTATTAGTAATATCTTCGGTAAAGACTTTGATGCATAAAATATTTCTGCAAAATAAAAATATTTATGATAAATGTGGTAGGTTGTGTACTTTTGTCCAACTGAGCAATCTTGCTTTCATAAAATATAGTAACTTTTTAATGTTCAATGATTAACATGCTGTAATACACAGTTTAAAATTAAAAAAAGTCTAAAGAATATACAACTTAAATTCTTAATTGGATAAAGATTATCCCTCGGCAGTGACAGGGATTCGAAACTGGGTGTTTTCTGGTGACAGCTCAAATGCTGTACATGAGAGGTTAAGCTTTATTAGCTCCACCTGGCGGTTTTACAAGGTGATTCCGGATACTATTAACATAATCTAATTTGCACGTAGTAAAATGCGGTATGAGATGATATGACGCGTTATGATGTGTACCTCATCATGTTGTACCACGTTGTACCTCGCTCGTTTTGAATGGCTGCATGTGTATGTGTTCTCCCACCTCATCCAGCACTATCAGAGAAGACTCAGTGCTGTTATCTTGGAAAAGGGAAGGTGCACAAAGTACTAAATGCAGGGGTGCTAATAATTGTGAGGTGTTTTTGAGAAAAATGTTTATTTTTTATCAGGATTTTTTTCTTTGGATAATTTTACCCCACTGAAAGGTTACATTTCTCTCATATTTTCAGTGTAAGATAAAGCTGATAAACAACAAAGACATTATTCCATAGCCTTTTTAGCTAATCTTTACCAAGGGTGCCAATAATTCTGGAGGGCACTGTATGGAATAAGTGAAGCAATACAAAATACTTTAGCTTTTGCTTTTGACTACAGACTAACTCAAATATTATTTCTTTGAAAACATACATGATAAGTAATGCTTAACAAAAAACAAATAAGCACAGCTAGGCTGAGAACAAATACAGTATGGAGACAAAGGACAACTTCAATAATGCAAAAAAAACCCTTAATTTATTAATTAAGACTATTTTATTTAGACTGAGAAACACCAATAAATAATAATAATAAATAAATAATCTCAATAGGCAGAAGAAGCAGATTCCAGAATTCAGACACTAACTAGCAACATTATGCTGCTACCATTACCTCCTCAGATAGTCAGTCAATAAACTACTTATTTATTTCAAGTTCCATTACAAGGTTTGGTTTTCAGTAATTATTTTCTCTGATCCTATCAGAGTTCTAAACATACGTTTATAGAACGTTTACCTAACTATATAAGAAGTTGAACTAAATTCCAAACCTTTAAAGAATAATAATGGTTTACCTATAATTATTTTACTATAATTCTTGTACCTACTTCTCTCGCAGTCTCTTTCTATTCACCTGTCTCCTATTCTCAAAGAGCACCTCACGTCCCCACTCAGTATATTGCAGCTACCACGCATAAGCTTTCTCCATAGGTGTAATTAATTGAGGGCTCTCAATCTCAGTTTCAGGCATTTCTCTAAAAAGAGTAGGGATGTTACTCATGTGTCCTGGCCAAATTTCCTACTGGTCTTTACCAACAATCAGCATTTCTGAATTGGGTTAATCATTCTGTTTTCCTCCCCACCGATAGTTTACAGATGTAGCCATTCAAAATTCACGGTAAAACCCCGTCACCTGGAATTAGGGCTGCAAAAGATGATCGACAGGTGGCACTTGTGGTGCATTAGATGTTAGTGAAACACTTCATTAATTTAATATTCATTAAATCATTAATATGAATATAAATATAAATATATTATACAAACTGTATATACAGCTCGTAGGGGTATGTTTTGTATTTGTTTAATATTTGTATCTGTTAATACAATTGTAAAATTAATTGAAGTTCTACTCAATTAAATTTTAAAAAGCGTAACAGTATTCCACTTTCTTCATAAACATTATGCATCAAAATCTTTCAATTGGTCACTTACTGTGGTTATTTTGAAAAAGTTCTGACGTGCTCGTTCTGATTATATTAAGTTTATATACTTTATAAAAAGCTATAACGTTTTAACCTTTTCTATGAATACTTGCTGTCATTATTGTATTAAAAACCGTGTACTTTTCAGAATTGTGATTATTATACGTATATAGTATGTTGCGGTTTTTGGGGTTACAATAAATTGAACACAGATTTTTATTTATTCGTGGAATAGTTTGTATTACAATTTGTTAAATCACATTTTTAGGCTATATACTGCAATGAGGAACAAAATCATACACAGGACTTTTTTCTTCACAATCAGGATTTTTTAAGTAGTGCTTTCTTGTCTCTCAACGAGGCACACACGCAAATCACGAAGTCATATCCACAGATACAGTATACCAAAACAGTAGCGTAGACAGGCCAATGAACTCTAGTGTGAACTATACCGCATAACTATATATACTGTGTATACAGTATGGTGCTGTATGGTTTTAGAGCCAATACAATATGTGAAACATGTTTTTATAATTAAAATTTATGCATTGCTGAAATTTGCACTAAGACAAAATATAAATGATCTAAATAGGGAAATAAACCCGAAACCTGAAGGAAGCACATTGCGTTCACAAGAAGCCACAGTATAATAATATTTTTTAAAATATATCAGAGTCATTTTGTTTATGCAAATACAAATACTAATTTAATATTTCACATAATGTAAAACACAGATTAAAATGTATACAAGTCTAAACAGTATACAATTTAAATTCTATAAATGGAAAAAGATTTTCTAGTGACAGCCCAAATGCTCCACATGCCATGCTAAGCTTTCACTGCACCACCTGGTGGTTTTAAAAAGAAATGCGTCCAAAAACAGATATAAGAATAAGAAATTGGGGTGTGTTATGGTGCCTTAGGTCATGCGCACTGCAAAATGATGCAGAATCCGGCACTGATCCTGAATGGCTAGATCTGTTTGTATGGTGAGTGTACTGACGCACTTTGGCTGCCTGTCGCATCAACCAGGTAGGTGCTGCACATTGGTGGAGGTGGAGGGGAGTAACCATTACCTGTAAATCGCTTTTAGTAGAGCATCCAGAAATGCTCTATACAAGGATAATAATAATAATAATAATAATAATAATAATAATAATAATAATTTTAACTGAGTGATTACACCTGATTGTTTTCAATGTAATGGTTTCTTCCTAGTGAAGTCTCTCAGTGACACCTAAACTGAATCCTCCAGTCTAGAACAAAGGTTCCCTGACAGATGGTGACATGTAAAGGAACAGTTTAGTAGTCTCTGATTGATTATGAAAACATTTCCATTACACTAACTGGCATGCATATCCTAAAAGTCACAAACCATAAATTAGGTTTGAAGGTACAATAGAAATTCTTGTTGTGTAGTACAATCAAATTTTTAATTTGCCTCCAAAAGTGACTTCAATTCACTTGGCCATTAGTTTTATTTTATGTACTATAGCAAGGAAGCAATAATTACACAGAGAGCAGATATGGATGGAAAGCCATATAAAGAAAGGGCTAGTCGGGACTAAAGTTACTGGAGAGATTAGGCAAATGTGAATGTGTGGTTTCAAAACAGATACTTACACACACTTACAGATGAGAGCTGAGCAAAGGAGCTACATGTGTAAGTACTGCAGACCTACTGATCTTTAAACATCTTTCCTCCTGTTCTCACCGAGATAGGATACTCATTCTCTCCTGCTTTTGGCCCATTTCTCCACTGCTCCCTGATCCTTCTTGCCTACTCTGTATTATTCTCTCCTATGCATTATTTCTTTACTACTTTATCTCTCTCCCTCACACCTGTAGAGGGCTTCACATGAAGTCATATCCACAACATACCAAAACAGTATCATAGACAGGTCAATGAACTATAATGTGAACTATACCGTATAACGTATAATACACGTTCTGTTTATTTTCCTTACCTTTCAACATTTACCTTTCCAATAAGAAGGCTTGTGTGACTTGTTAGATACGATACTCATTATCCAGATATCAGTGGGTAGCTGCGAATAATTTATAGTTCCAGAAGGGATTAAGTATCAAACAAGAATGCTAGATTTTCTGTTGACAGTACTGTGATGGTTCAGTTTAATAACAATTTGCAGTAGGACCCTGTGTAGCGCACAGTGTCAAAGGATGTCCTGGAGTGATCTGGGAGAGTTGTGAGAGATGCAGACTAGAGTCACCCCAGAGAATCATATTTATAATACTAAAAAAAGAAATGCAGGTCAGCTAAATGCCACAGAACAAATTTGGATAGTTGCAAAACCATAAAGTATCGACCAAGCTTGGTGGAAAACAACAATGTCATGGTAACCAAACCGGTGAGGAGCTGAGGCAAGATTATGCAAGAGCAAGGCTTAGTTACTAGATCTCTAGTTTAGGATAACAATAAGTGAACATGACCAATTTTACCACTACAATATGGATTTAAACTTTTTATTTTGTGTTCTGGACTCAAGATCTCCCAGGACCTGGGCCACATGCAAAGTCTGGCTGTACAGAAAGTGATCTGGATTGAGAACATGGTGGAGATATGTTTTACCACTAGCTTTAAGGCTGAGAAAAGCACATCAGCACCTGTGCACGTTCTGCACCATTGCTGGCGAGAAATAAAAGGGAAATCCAGACAGTACAGACCTGCAAGATGCGCTGGATTATCAATGGTAGAGCAATGAAGCCTGTCATGCTGTTCAGAACTTGCATCGTAAGCTGTTTCAGTGCTGAAAGAGAAACATAACCTGTAGCATGACATACGAGTACAGTATATCATCTAAAAGCATTCATATGGAAAAGAGGGTTAAAACACACAGGGACAAGAACACGTTAATGATGTACATCTAACAAGGATTTTCTCCAAGAGGCCACATCGTTTCGCACATATATAATGTTTGCAGAGGAGTTCCTGGTTAGTTATTTGATATGAGGTTCATAACTTTCTGTAACCAGGTCTATAACCCTTCTAAAGCCAGTTTCTAACTTTGTTGACTGAACTATTCATTACAGTCAATATTAACATCACACTCAGTTGGTTAGATGGTTTACTTAGGGCAAGGTAACCTGTCAAGGTTACTCAGCAAGCAGCACAATCATTCCTAAATACAGTATATCTGAGGCAAACTACCTTCAAAATTGTTTTACATAATCCTTATCTTCTTGTTATTTAATCAATTATTTGGTTAATTACCTCTTGTACACACTATTCTACTATGGTAATTGCGTAGATTGCCATTTGAAATTATAACTAACTGCTTAAGCAATATGTATACTGTGAGGACTGTGGAATACTCAAAGCTTGTTAGGGAGGAGTTGTGAGGAAAAATGAGCTGGTAATCATCTATAGGGCCCTGAAGCCCACTGAGGAAGCACAGGACACTCAAGCTTGCACAACAGTTTATCAGCCTTGACGAGGCTCTTCAGAAGTGAAGTTAATAGTATGGCAAAACTGAAGTAACAAAAAGGAACCATAAGAATACACTGTAAATCAAGAAAAAAATAAAATATATGCTACAGATGCAGCCATTCAAAACAAGCGGGGTATGCTGCAGTATAACACGGTGGGCGTGTCGCAGTATACCGCATCATACCGTATGCAAATTAGATTATGTTAATAGTATCCGGAATCACCTTGTAAAACCGCCAGGTGGAGCTAATAAAGGTTAACTTGTACAGCATTTGAGCTGTCACCAGAAAACGTCGGTTTAGAATCCCGATCACTGCTGAGGAACAATCTTTATTCAATTAAGAATTTAAGTATACTCTTTAGACTTTTAAATTTAAACAGTGTATTACAGCATGTTAATCATTAAACATTAAAAAGGCAGTATATTTTATAAAAGCAAGATTGTTCTGTTGGACAACCTACCACCTTTATCATAAATATTTTAATTATGCAGGAATATTTTATGCATCAAAGTCTTTACCGAAGATATTACTAATAGTATTAATAATGAATGACCTTGGACAAGCTGTAAGTATTACCCTGGTCCACATTCTTTGTAACCGTCTTTGTAAACGAAAAGAGTTTATTTTTTCATTGACAAAAAGTAACGCCACAGCATTTAGTTGATCCGATCATGCATCCGTTTCCAATCATACAAAGTAATTCTTGAGAATCTCCGATTCACCATGCCTTTCACATGCTCATAAACGATATTAATTTAGGAACATAAACATATTACTGTATGTAAACTGTACTGTATATTGCTGGTCTTGGTACTTTAAAGAAAAAATACACACTTTTAATTATTTAAAACTGTATTACAGCAGCACAATGCACAATGCAACGTAAATCGCTATCTTTGTCTTCTGTGTAATAATGTTCACCTCTCTGTCCAGCAAATTAACAATAGTAATAATAATGAACTTTATTGTAATAATGAACTTTATTGAACTTTATGGCGCCTTTAAAGGTGGCTCCTCAAAGCGCTTTAAAGATTGTACAATCGATGGAAATGTTCAAATAAATGTGCAAAAAAATAAACACAATAATCATTTATTTCTTTATCATATTGGCTAGATAATGTCCTCTCTTTGCTAGTTAGTGGCTGTGTTTCTGCGTTGGGTAGCAACGGGTGACTGTTCTCAGGCGGAAGATGTAAACAGCTTAATTTTTGTGTTAAATAATTTTTTTAAATTAAAATTCATTCCATACAGCAATTTGGGTACCGTTTCATAAAACTTTCATGCTTAAAATGTTTAGTGAGAAATGAAAGACTGGTGTGTATTTTTTCTTTAAACTACCAAGACCAGCCATACACAGTACAGTTTATGTACATACAGTAATGTTTATGTTCCAAAATTAATATCCTTTATGACCTTCAGATGCGTTATGCTCCTATTCTTTTTATGCTCAGCTACTAAAATTTCCCTTTAGTGGTAAAATTCCATATAAATATTCAAAACTAACCGGATTAAAATGTGCACAGTAAAGACATTAAATGATTAAATCTTTTCACTACCAACCAATGCACCACGAGTGCCCCTGTCAGTCATTTTGGCCAGCCAATCACTTACCGCGGTGCCCTGTGGTGGCTTGTGGGTAGTTTACCGTACCGCGGGTTTGTACCGTGCATTTTGAATGGCTGCATCTGTATATTATTACATACTTTTCTTAGTGTTATCAGTTGAGAATCGACATTACAATTAAGGTGTGCACCTCTGTTGTAGAAGCCCTAGGGATAACTTCCAATGTCTGTCTAATTTGTCTCAGCAGCATCTTAATCTTTATTAATAATGACAGGTCAAATAGCCTTACATTCTGAAGTGTGCCGAAAGGCTGACCCTTTTAGTAGCTTCTGAGGTGACATCATTGCTTCTAACAATGGAAACCACAGCATCTGCGAGAAGTAAAATAACAGAGATTCATTGTTAACTTGCACTGATTAATGATGCTGGCATACAGTATATACTGAATAAATGTATTCAATATATATTTTTAGAAAATGTGATGTTTTCATAAAGTACATAAAACTGTAATTCAATCCATTTAAATAAATGAAATTATGCATGGAACAATTTCTGATTTTGGAGTGATTACACAGTTTCAACTATAGATGTTTTAAACAACAACAGTTAACTATTTAGTTTTATAACTGCGAACTGGTTACAGGTATGTTTCTGGCAATAAATGCCAGTTGATAGAATGGTATTACAGTATGTGAAATCTTTTTTTTTATTTTCCCATATTAACTTAGAGTAACTTAAAACATCAGAACATTTATCAAGGAAAATGTCATTCTAACCTAACTGACATAACATTTGGATAACCTAACGTTAATTTTAAACATACAGGTCTTCAAACTGGACATGTTCATCTCTCCACCTCATGTCTATAGCTAGACTGATTTTCACAGATCTTCCAAACATTCTCCAATAGACAGAATTGGTGAATTCTGGATTTTGGAGAGATCTGAAAACAGCAGTTGGGAGAAGGCACCCTTCGAATCTGGGAGAACTGGAGCAGTTTGCATAAGAAGAGTGGGCCAAACTGCCAGTACAGAGGTGCAGGAAGCTCATCGATGGCTATAGGAAGCGCTTGATTGCAGTTATTTTGACCAAAGGCTGACCACCAAATATTGAGTCTGGGGTGTCAATAAGTTTGTCAATGCCATTTCTTTTTATTTTCTGATTTAAAAGCACATATTAAGTTCTAAATAAAAACAAAGGTTCTGTAATATTAACAGTGAAATAAGGAATTGTGGAGACCAAAAATTGTTATTTGCAAAAAGTGCAAGTGTGCCAATATTTTTCACTACGACTCTAAGTGACTAAGTAAGAAGTTAAAATGAGAACTACCACCTGTGTTTTGGATCCTGGTTCCTATGTTCCTATGCCTCTACTCTAACATCTCTGCTGTTTGAATATTTGTTACTCATCAATGAGTCTCCAAAATCCAGTTTGTTACCTATAGGTTTAAACTCATCTGCTTTCAGTAAGAAAAAAAAAACTGTCCTGCACCCTTAAGTTCTTAATAACTACCATCCCTTTTCCAATTTGTGTTTTGTTATAAAGTAAACAGAAATATCAGCATACCATAATATGGGTCTTTTGTAACCCACATTATTAGTAGTGAAAAGACCAGATACAGATAAAGAACTGTGAATACTTTAGTGTGACTAAGGTGAAGCTCTTGTGCAAACCTGATGTGAAAACACACATTGGCATGGCTATCTGTCATTACCTCTCTCTGTTGCTGGTTGAGACTGTAGGAATTCCGCTGGCACAGAGCAATGGCCTCTGCCAAAGCTGCCTCCACGCTCAGCAGGGATTCTTCTTCATCTGCTGAAGGTTCGCCTAAAGAAAGCCACTACAATTAAGCATTTGACATGGAGGAACACAAAAATATATTAAAAAATCCTACTTTTGACAGCTTACAAGTTTTCACAATTCACAATTCAAAATTCTTGAATTTTGAATCAGTGCCAATATACAGCCGAACAAATCACTCTTTCCAGAGGTGCAAGAAAAAATGCTTTAATGCAAGTTGCATATGATTTGGACTCAACTTATTTCCTTCTCAACTTAAAATATCTCAAGCACAGACACTGTGCAGACGTATGTACTACATGGTCCTGGGAGGCAAGGTAAGTAGGCATAAATACTGTAATGATTTTGATCCATATCTTCATTAACTTCAATCAAATACCTAACTTAAAATCTTTATCTTCTAAGCATAGGAAACTTTTCTCACCTTTATTCTCTAGAGGAAGTGCTGAAAGCTTGTTCTTCAATGTCTGAAAAACAGAGAAGATATTTATTTTAAGCTGTAGAGTTGAAATGGTCACAACACACATCTTACACTTTTATCATTGTTGGTCAAGACATTTCTACTCTTATGACTATTACAGACAGATATAAGGTTTGGAAAGATATTTACATCAGTTTGTCCTTTGTTGTAGTCTCCCACGTATCACTAGCTACCACAAAACTGAAACTGATTCTTCTGACTTCTACAAAATTAAGTGCACTGCAAAGTGAGTATATTTGTATTTAATCATAAGGAGTGATTTTAATAAATCTTATTAATGTATATTTATTTTATATAGAAATTATTTGTGGACTCAGTTATCTATTGTGAGTTTGCATTAGTTTAGTATCATTCATACATTTGACCTATAGTGCCTTCAGAAAGTATTCACTCCTTTGACGTTTTTCACATTTTTTTCTTGTTACACCTCCAAATTTTAACACATTGCACATTTTCCCCCTTTAATAACACAATAAAATCCACACATTTATGAACAAAAAAATATTTTTTTATTCAAGAACATTCGTTTCTCCAGAATGAAAGACTTTCATTTCTCATTTACAAACGTATTCACCCTCAAGTCAATACTTTGTACATAGTCCTTTAGCAGCAATTACAGCCGTGAGTTTGTATCACCCCCCCAAAAAAAATGGTCCTCTTTTTACAAGAACTAATCTCTAACAGATAATTTATCTTAACACTGGGCAACGACACCTCCAGGAAATTTAACCTTAAGAACGGCGTCCCGCAAGGCTCGGTGCTGGCGCCAATGCTGTTTAACATCTACACAGCTTACCTGCTATGTACAACTGCCAAAAAGTACATATACGCAGACGACATCGCTGTTATGCATTGCTCCACAGACATCAAAGCAATAGAAACTACACTACCGACTGACCTGAACAAGCTGAACTGCTACTTCAAAGACTGGAGGTTAAAACTTAGCATCACCAAGACAGTGAGCAGCATTTTCCACCTCGCCAATCGCTTTGCTAACATAACAATCAACATCAAGTGCGAAGACAAAACTATTCCATTTGAGAAAAGCCCGAAATATCTAGGAGTTGTCCTTGACCGCTCACTGACCTTCAAGCAACATCTCAAACAAACAGCAGCAAAAATCCAAGCAGGAACAACCTCCTGCGAAGACAAGCTGGCACTAGCTGAGGTGCAAATTTCACCATCTTATGTACCTCTGTGCTTTCTCTAGCCATCTCGGTAGCTGAGTACTGCTCTCCTACCTGGCACAACAGCAGCCATAGGAAGAAGGTAGACAGAGACCTGAACAACAGCATGTGCATTATCACCGAGTGCATTAGACCTACACCCACTGAACTGCTACCGATTCTCAGTGGCATCTCTCCACCAAATCTTCGCAGAGAAGCAAGTTGCATTAACCTTGCACTGAAAGCCTCGAATGACTCCAACCACCTACTACACAATGCCACCTGCAACCGGAACACCACGATCCTCCGACTAGGAAACCGGCACTCACCTTCTAACACAATGAGGCGCCTTATGAAAAAAGCAAACAACGACAATGGCACCAATTGGGCTAACAAAAAGTGGCAAGATGCGTGGAATAATAACAATCACAGACTGAAACAGACAACAAACCCGCTAGAAATGACCTACCCAGACAAGCCTGGGTCAAGCTGAACCGACTAAAAACCGGACGTGGCCGTTTCCGGCCCACCCTACACAAGTGAGGTCTCACTGATGACCCAATTTGCAAATGCAGCGACGGCAAGGAGCAGACGGCCGACCACATTCTATACTCCTGGCCTCGCTTCAGGTGCCCCGGCAACTTCACCGTTTTGGATGATGCCAGCCGCGACTGGCTGAAGCACCTGACTGTGACAATATAACTATGTAACTTCTGCATGTTAAGCTCATACGAATAAAAAACAGCCGTGAGTCTTTTCGGGTATGTCTGTATGAACTTTGCACATTTAAATTGTGGGATTTTTGCCCATCCTTCAGTGCAAAATTCTGCCAAATTAGATGGAGAGCATCAGTGGACAGCTATTTTTAGGTCATAACACAGATTTTCAATTGCATTCAAGTCTGGGCTCTGGCTGGGCTATTCCAGAATACTAACCTTCTTTTTTTCAAGCCATTCCTTGATAGTTTTTACCTTGCGCATTGTGTGATTGTCCTGCTGGAAAATGAATCTTCACCCTAAGCCAAATCTCTGGCTGACTGGAACAGGGTTTCCTCAAGGATTTGCCTGTATTTGGCTCCATCCATGTTGCCCTTGATGGCAACAAGCTTTCTAGTTCTTCCTGCCGAAAAGCAACCCCAGAGTATGATGCTGCCACCACCATACTTGATGGTAGGAATGGTGTTACCTGAGTGTCGGGCTGTATTTGGTTTGCGCCAAACATAGCATTTTGCTTTAAGGCCAAAGAGCTCAACTCTTTTAAAGTCTCATCAAACCACAACATTTTCTTCCAAAAGGTCTCGGGTTTTGTCACTTGGCTTCTAGCAAACACCAGGCGTGACTTAATGTTGGCTGTTATCAGAAGTGGCTTCCTTCTAGCCACTCTCCCAAAGAGGCTGAATCTGTGAACTGATGAAGAGATTGTTGATTTTGGACAGTTTCTTCTATTTCAGCCAAAGAGCTCTGCAACTCTGTCAGTGTTGTAGCTGGCCTCTTGGTCACTTCTCTGACAATTGCCCTTCTTGTCCGGTTGCTCAATTTGGTAGGACGGCTTGATCTTAGGCCGTGTCTGGGTTGTGCCATATTTTTTCCATTTTGTTACAATGGACTTCACGATGCTCCTAGGAAGATTCAAAGCTTTTCCAATCTTTTTATAACGTTTCCAGATTCCTCCTAACAACTTCATCTCAAAGTTCCACGGGCAGCTCCTTGGTCTTCATGACAGCAGGACTGATTTGATTTACTGTTTTAGTTGTGAGACCTCACAAAGTCAATAACATTTTTTATGCAACCAAGCAATTGAACACAGATGGATTCGAAGTGAACACAGGTCTACCTTGTTAATGTATTTAGTGTGATATATCTCAAGATAATTGAATACCTCACCAATTTAGGATGTTAAAACAAAGAGGGTAAATACTTAACAATTAATTAATTTTCAGATTTTTATTTTTAATATAATTCTGAAGACATCTAAATACTTTTATATATTTATTTAATATTTCATATATATATTTCATTTTAACATTATAGAGCATTACTTCTACAAGAGTGGAAAAATGACTTAAGTTGACTTTGCAACACAGCAGAATGAGAAATAATCAATGGGGGGTGAATACTTTCTGAAGGCACTGTATTTCTGAAACTTTACTGTCAAATCACATGCCACTTTACAGTACTTATGGATACCCTTCTTTTTATGAGGGTTAAAGGTTTCCAAATTACCTAAATATAACAAACAGTATAATCTAGAAACTCATTGCAGCTACACTGAAAAGGGTCTATTTGTTGATGGTAATAAAGAAATCCCAAATTCTGCTTTTCATTCTCATCTTTACATTTGTACTACTGTCAGGACCTTAAATTGTTTTATTTATTTTGGTTTCAGGGCATTACATTTCAAACGTAATGGCAGTGTTAAACTTACATTTAAAAAATCTTATCATTCTACTATTCATTTGCTTGATGTGCATGGCACCTTTATGCAATTAAGGTAGAAATAATACCACCGGCATAGTTCTTTTTCTTTGGTTTTACCTTTAGCAGCACAAGGAAAGCTCCGTGCACATCTCCTTTCTTCTCCAGCAGGTATGCTGTTGCTTCATGCAGGAGGTGTTGCTCTGTTATCTAAAAGCCAATAAATAATAAAAGCAAAGCTTGAAATGAAAACAACGTTAACACAAACCCACTCACAAGGAGCAAACTCTGAGGTTTCTACATGTTAAACAAAAAGATACTTTCTTAAAAATTACCCTTCCATTTTTAAAAATAATTTTGGTCTTGAATGCAACATTAACTGAATGGTCTATCAATATTTCTTGATTATCATCAAAGAGGACACATTTTGACAAAAATAAAACTTACAGTAAACTAAAATTACAGTTTACATTTATAGAGTGTTTTCGCTTATATTTCTATTTTTTTTTCTTATCTTAATAAACATCTGAGACTTGCTGAAGTGTGACTCACTTGAACCCCAACTGGCTTCTTAGAGGCAGCATTCAAAACAATATTTAGGCAAACTTGGGAAAAACATCCTACTTTGTGAGACTAACAACATTTATTTTGTTTTTCTACACAATCATTTTGAATTAAGAATCTGTATTTCTTACTGTATAAGCTATAAGCTGTTGTGTAATTGTTCTTTGATTGCAGTAGAGTGGATAATGTGCACAGTTCTGAGACACACTCTCTCTCATACTACACATCTGAAAGAGCTTATTGACACACAAATTCCCTAAACAAAAAAGTAAGCTGTTACAATCCAATTATTGGAACATAATTCTAAGTCATTATCCTTACTGAGAAACCTGGACAATAAATAATGTGGTGATAGTGTCAATAGGGTGAAGAATAGAAGGTCTCCATCAAGCACTACTTAACTAATTTTCTGTTATTCACATTCAGCTATAAAATGACTCCCATGACTTCCCAGAGGGAGAAAGCGGAAGTATTGGCAGACTCCACCCATTTACTATTGAGCCACTTGTCTTGATTGATTCAACAGTGCAGGAGGGGGGACCTCCTTGCTGACACTGCATCCCTGTAAGTGCTCAGAGATCGTTCATATGTTTATGTGCTGTCACTTGGGGAATCCTGGTGAAGGTTTGTGAAGCTCAGTGCGAAAAATAGGTTCTGAGCAAGAGACAGAGTTTAACAGTCCTATAATCCAGCCCTCTTAATTTGCCCAGAGTAGTGGCTAATTCAATGCACAGCCTATCCAAACAGGTGGAAATGTTCTCCCTCTAAATGCTAACTACTATTTCAGATTGGCTGTGCTTTAATTTGTACACAGCCAAAATACACCACATAATAGGAGATCAAAGTGCAGCTAACTTTATATGCTATGTATAAGGATATAAAACACATAACCTAGCTACCATTTCAAAATGCATGTGGCTGTACAGAATTTTTGTAAAGGGGATAACATGCCATAAATGAAGCCTGGTTTGGACCTGTTAATGTTTTCTTTAAAACTAAATGCAACTAAATATATTCATTTAATTCTGCTGTCTCTATGCATTGTGTATGTGTATTAAAGGCACTATATAAATATAAATATAGTGAAGACTTAATCAAAGTAGGCACTTGTATCAGTTCAATGCAACTTACTGTACATGACAAAATCATTCAAATCACTAGTCAAAAAGTTTATCTTACCTCTTTTTGTTTTTTATGTGTCTATTTGTTTTTAAATACATTTTTAAAACCATTATTATTACTTTTTAAAGCCATTATTACTCATTACTATGGATATTTATAGACTTTTAATTAAAGTCTAAAATAAAATTTCAAATTACTATTAATACACAATTACTAATAATTCTATATGCTGTATGTAATTAAGAAAAGATAATAATTTTAGTTATACAGTTATACAGTGTTGACACACATTACTTTATTAGGAGTTGTGGTAGCAACGTGGTACATGTAGCAACATCCTGTCTCAACAATGTAATAACTGTATATAATAAATTGTTTGTCACTAGTATATATACAGTATGATTATCACAGGAAAGCCTCTATTGTAGGATTAATGGGTTAATAAACATTTAATACTATACCGATTTGTAAAATAAGGAGCTGTGGTACCTTAAGGATTCACTGCTCCACTTGGCAGTTTTCTAGAGTCATGTAGTTCTGCATATCAGAATATTCAAAAAAATAAAAAAGTGATAACGAGCTGGAGTCTATGGACACTGCATGTCTACCATGGTATACCTACCTGGTAAACCTGGTGCATTCTAGATGGCTGCATCTGTACATCTTCATAAAACCTTTTAGTCAGGAATTGAGCTCTCTGTGATTATTACATTCTGACCCAGGGAATTAGTTGCAGTAGAGAGAATAAATACAACTAGCATTTATGTATTCATTTATGTATTAATCGTGGAGAACACTACACAGATTGGCTTATTATGTTTGGGACACATCTGGGTAATGATGAACTCTTATTTATTTTGCATTATTTTGTTTTCACATTATATGCAGCAAAGTTAATGTTGTGCCACCTGAAGCATGCCCAATCAATATAACACCATAAAGAAACCTAAGGAAAGAGACTTCACCTGAATGGCCTCCTCTAAACGATAGTCTTGTGATGCCTGTAAGAACAGAGTGACCTTGCTTGGACAAAATCGGCACAGTAGACTGACGTAGAGCTCATGTAGGTCAGGACTCAGGCACAGCAGCTTCTGGTTTTGTGTGGCTTCCCTGGAACAGAACAAGAGATCAGTTATTCAAAACTACCAAAAATAGCACCACGTGGAGACTGCCAATGGCCCTGGTTTTCTTAGTTTAGATAAGAAATGCTATTATGAAGTCACTTCAAATGTTTCTGACTATATGAGAATTTCTAGGAAAATCACACAGAAGGAGATAAGATAAACCTGCCAGTGTCTTATCAAACCAGTGCATAATTTGTTAAGAGCAGTGAACTAGTTCAATGTTCTACAAATATTCAAAAAGCACATACAAACCACAAATATACAGTAGTAGATTGATGTGTACAGTATATGTGTATATTTACTTTGCTGCATAAGAGAAACTTACCCCAGATTTTCATTGCATACTTGAACAAACAGTTACTACAAGCATCAGTGGGGACCATTGCTTTATAGTTGTTGACTAAAATAAGTATTTAAAGCATTGTTAAGATACAGATGCAGACATTCACAATACGCGGTAAAACCCTGTACTGTGCGAAATTATCTGCAGTTCAGCGCGTTATACCACAGTATGTGATTGGCTGACCAAAATGACCAACAGGCGGCACTCGTGGTACACTGGTTATTAATGAAATGATTGCTTAATTTAATCGCTTTACTGTGCGTGTTTTAATCCGCTCAATGTTGAATATCAATATGGAATTTTACAACTAAAGGGAAATTTCAGTAGCTGAGCACAAAAAGAAAAGGAGCATAACGTCTCTGAATGTCATAAACAATATTAATTTAAGAATATAAATATATAATCAAACTATATATGGCTGGTAGTGGTAGTTTAAATAGAAAATCCACACCAGTATTCCACTTTCTACATAAACATTTCAAGCATTCAAGTCTTTCATTCGGTTACATAATGTGGTTATTTTGGATACGTTTTTACATGCTCCTTCTGACTATATTAAGTTTATATACTTCATCAAAAGTTATAATGTTTTAACTTTTTAATGAACACTTGTGCTCATACTCAAAAAACTCATACTTTTTAAAATTTGATTAATAGGGAATTTAATATGGAATCGTGTATCTAAAGAAATGAATAACAATATAATTATATTCATATAGCTCAAATTATTACAGCAGTACACTTTCTTTGTAAACATCTGCATCAATTTAACTAATTCACCCGCGATTATTTGGAAACATTTTGCCTGCCCTTTTCAGTTATAGTTTAAGTTGTCAAGTGGCGCGTTGTTGTAATGGCTTTAGCGTGTGACTCACATGCTGGAGGTCGGGTGTTTGAACCCAGCACTCGCCATGAGTTTTCTTTTAACAAGTAAAAATTTCTTTGAAAAACTAAAGCAGTAAATATTATCGACTTCTTTTTATGTTCAGCTACTATATTGGATTTGTTAGTATTTCTATCACAACACATTCAAAGTTAAGTGATTTATTAATAACAACTAATAATTTCGAACTGCTTGTGATTTGTCACTGTTTTCACAAACTTCAATTTATTAAATCTCTATTTTTGAGACAGGGTGTGCCAGCCCTCTGTTTAATTTCTGTAACTCCCTCTGTCTTCCAGGTTTTAACCTTTTCTATGAATATATGCGCTCATTATCACAGTAAAAAACCTCATACTTTTAAGAATCAGCTAAATAGGGAATATAATATGTAATCGTTTATCTAAAGAAATTAATAACAATATTAATTTAAGAATCTAAATGTATGTATTTATATAGTTGGTAGTATTACTGTAATCCACTTTCTTTGTAAACACGTTTTATTTTTAATTTGACTCATTCATGCATGATTACTTT